AGACTTTTTCAAAAAAATTTCCAATTGTTGGAACAATTGAAATTGGTCTATAGTTTTGTTCCTCGTTTGCATCCCCTTTTTTAAGAAGTGGTATTACTTTTGAAATTTTTAGACAGGTAGGGAAGACTGATGTTCTTATACATTCATTTATTAATTTAGTTAAAGGGATAATAAGTAAATTAATATGTTTTTTTTGTTAAGTTTATACTGATCTCGTAAAAATCTTTGGACTCACCATTTTTCATATCTTTAATAGTGTCACGCATTTCAATAAAATAAATTTCTTTAAAATAAAATACCGCTTGAATTTTTTTACAGTTTGATAATACTGTTAGGTTATTGATATTGTTGTTTGGAGGTGGTATATTATCAAAAATTAGTCTGGGAATATTAGTGAAATAAGTATTTAACATATTACTGGTTAAGTTTGATTTCACTTGTGTTTTAGAATTTTTGGCGTTTAGTGTTAATTAAGCACCATGCACCTTTTGATAAATTTGAGTGACTTGTCAAGTATTTTGTATTAGCCTGTTTTTTTGCCTCATTAATTTTAGTTCTATAAAAAGTTCTATATTTGAGATAATATTGTGTGAGTATTTTATTCTGGGGTTGATTTTGTTTCATTTCGTGCAAAAAATTTAGATGATTCCTGATGTTTTTTAGTTCAATATTAAACCAATTAATTTTAAATGGTGGCTGAGTTTTGCTAATATACATTTACTTCTCAGAGGAAAAGCCTCTTTAATGTTATTATTTAAGATTCTAATAAAATTTTCAAATTTATCGGCAGTATCTATGTTAGGAGAGTCAATAAAGGACCAGTTAATATTATCGAGAAGATTATACAGCTTACACATGCCTTTCTGAGTAAAAGGTCGAAAGATGATCGTTTTATCACTTTCGTCAGTTGTTTTTTTTTTTAAATAGATGTCAATAGCCTTGTGGTCGGAAAGGCTGTGAGTTAGGACATTAGTTTTGTATGGGCGTTCCAAATTCGTTATCACGTTATCCAAGCAGTTGTCGCGTGCTGGCAGTGATAGTTGCTTTTAATCTAAATGAGGTGATAAAATCCTGAAATTGTACATTTTGAATAGTGTTTTTGTTGAAATGGATGTTAAAATCGCCCAAAATAACTACTTGACGATTTAAAAATTTTAAATAAGAAAATATTGCATTCAAAATATTAATGAAATTCTCAAAATTACCCAATGGACTTCGATAAACAGAGAAAATAAATATATTGGATGGGCGTATGCAAACGATTTCACAGTCCAGTTCTCTACTAAATTTCGAAATGTCAATTTTTTCAAAAGGAGTTCTTTGTTTTGCCAGAATTACTGTACCCCCATGTTGATTTAATTGTCTGCCAAAACCTGAAGCGAGTTTAAAATCTATAATATTTAACATTTCAATTTCATAATAATTTAACCAATGCTCAGTTAGACATAAAAAATTATATTGTTTTTCACAGTTTATTAAAAATGACTCAAGCTCACCTATTTTAGATTTAATCGATTGTATGTTTAAATGTAAAACAGCTAAGTTATCACTGACTGAAGAACAGGTCATCGTCTTCATTTTTGAGGCACGGGTTATTTGTCTTGCTTCGTTTGCCTTTTGGGATGAAAAAACCTTGAGATCACAGCTCCTTCAGGCCATATTTCTGGGTCGTTGCTTTTTTCCAGATTGTGAAGATCAATAGTAACTTTAAACCTTGAGTGGTTAGCGTCGTATTTGTTATCAACAAGTTCACAGGTGACTTCAGGAAAATCATCTTCGAGATACTTCTTTAGTTGAGATGCAGTAGCATCTTTGGCAAGCTTTCTTACGTATAAGTAGGCCTTTGGTAGTGGAGCCTTTAATGCTTCGGCATCTTTTTTTTCCAATGGTGAACTGTTTGCTTTTTCTGTTACCATTTGATACGTTAATTTTTTTGATTAATTTTAACGGAGTTAAATGTTGATTTCCCAGCATCTTGAGTACCCATGATGTTGGTCTTCTCCCTCGGATTTGCACTAGATTTATTTTGTTCACTTTGTTTATTGATACTATTATTATCTACGGCCGGTGTCTTTATCGATGTCATTGTCCTTCCTTTGGCGCTATCTCTTACGATAGGTTTTTTCTCCGGCGGCTTGATAAATCCGCAAAGAGTCTCTAATAAGTGAATTTGTCTACGTAAATCCTGGATAATAATATCCTTTTGGTGGATTATGTAGTGGAAAGTCTGGGGACTTGTGTTTGATGGATTTTCCTCAAGATCTTTTAAAAATAATTGATTCACTTCAGTGTCATCGGTGGTTTCGCCGTCCGTGATTTCACAACATTTAATCTTGTTGTCGTCGTAAAATTTGGCACCGTAATATTGAGCACAACTGAAACACATTTGAACATGTTACACACTTAACAGAGGTTTTTAAATTAGTCTTTTTACACCTTTTACATGCTGCTGAATTAGAGGTACTCGCGCTACCCGCCATGTTGTTAAAAAAATTAAATAAAAATGAATTTAGAATTTTTTAAACCTCTTTTTTTGGGAAATACAAAACTCACAATTTTCATATTATCATGTAGGCATCTTAGGTCTTTTGTTTCTAATGTTTTCGGATTTAATTTATTGTTAAATTTGCTAGTTTGTTAAATAATTTCTACAACATAAAACTCAAATTCGTAATGTTTTTAATAGATATTTGTTTAGTGTTATTCGATCTGCCGTTTCTGCTAATAAAATTCAACAATACATGTTCTGAACAGTCCAAAATTTAACCCAAAATCTAACCTTTCAAGAGCTATATCTTGTGAAAATAGGTTTAAACAACTTTATGTCATGGGAATTTTTAACTCATTTCGATATATTTTATCACCATCCAAGAAATGGTACAACACTTTGGAATCACCTGTATATACAGACTGTTTATGATGCATGTTGAAGTTGAAATTTAAAGCAGTTGATATGTACAGTAGTAGAAGACTACTAAAATACATTTTTTTTACTTAATGTTTTTATTCATACAAAAAAGTTTTTAATTTAATTTTTAATTTTCTAATGTTGATGTTCCGGAATCAGACGAGTTTACCCTCTGTAACTCCAAAAATGCCCCCAGCGCTGTTATGAAGTTCCTTTTCTCGGTCAAGGCACCAAACTCCAATGTTACACTTTCCGCTTCTTCGTAAATTATTAGCGTTGCAGTTACTGTTGGTTCTCCATTTTCGTCATCAGAATCTGGTTTACCATCATCGTACGTTCTTATATCGGTATCATAAAAACCAAAAAAGACTCTGCCATTTTCTAAATTTCTGTGGAAGTCATTCTGAACTGTAAAAAAATTAAAAATGAAATTCGATGTGAAACACCATTCATTTTTATTAAATATAATGTACATATTTAAATTAAGTGTAATACCTATATATGAGATTTAACGTAAAGTTACATTGTATATTGTTGCACTAAATTGAATAATAACATAGCACATCTGACTAAGAGAGAAAAAAAAACTATTACCTGTCTCTCGCTTTCAACAACTTTTAGAATGGAAGTTGTTGAATGAGTTGTCTTCGACGACGTTTCATCGCTATTGGCATTCTCACGTCGCTTTTTGCGGACAGGACGACCCTTGCTGTCAATTCCTTTTTGAGAAACGAAGTGGATTCATTTTCTCCGTGGCATCTTCAACTACTCAATCAACACTACGTAACAATCACTGTAACAAATTAATGACATCAATCAAAAACACAAAATTGAACACAAAAAAATTTCACAAACGACACACACCACTAAGACAAAGAATAAAAATGAACTATAAAGTGAAGTGAGATGTCAGTGTTGCCAGTGAGGTGTTAGTATTATTAGTATCGCCAACCTTAAGAAATTGATAAAAATATAGTAAAAAAATATAAATACTTGACTTTAATGTAAATAATATCCATAATAGAATATTTAGGACCAATAACTGCTTTGTGGTTGATCAATTGACCCTCATACCGTATACAAAGCCTTCACGTAAACATTAAAATTAAAAGACGCAGATATTTTCTAACTGGTCACCACCAGCCCTAATCCCCCACAAATCATAATAAAAAGATTTTTTGCTCCAAAGTTTTCAAAATAAAATATAAAATGAAAAAATGGATTTGTTGAGTTTCATCAATCTCTCAAGGTCGCCAACGAATATAATCTATAGTTAATATAATATAATAGTTTACCAAATTATTGGTGAAGAAAATAAGAAAAAAATCGTCACTTACCTTTTTTAATCAGAAAGTGTGCATAAAAGTTTATGTGGAACAATATTTTATAGGAATTTCATGGCATTCGTCGAGGCAACTTGTAGCTATATTTTGAGTTTTGAGCACTCGCTCTTTGCAAAATACAACACCGTGACACTGTCCTTGCAGAAACACTATTTCGCTTCTGAGTGGAACTCACACAAACATTTTGTCGAAATTATCGCCCCCTAGTAAATGAACTGCCACTGTTATTCGCCCCCGAGTAGAACTCACAGTGTCGGATTCGCAAATGTTTCGTCTAAATTATTATCGAGGGCTTCGCCCTTAATAGAACTCACACTATTTGCTTGCTTCACAAAGCGATGTTTGCTACCGTTTTTCTATCATTTTTGGTTGAGTATGAACCACATTGACGCGAAATGTCAACAACTGTCAGAAATGTCAGATTGATTGAAATACAAAGTTTTTTTTTATACTTAGAATTTATGCACTTTTAGGCCTGTTTTTCTCTATAAAACTCTACTACCTTGAAGAATTATGATTGAATTATTGTTTTTTACTTTCACTCAATCTCTACCTTTTGCCGTTTTCTACTTTTAGTGATTCCAAATTTTTGCAATAATCTCCAGGAATAAACAATTGCTGTCGCGTGACAAAGATGGTTAAGTTAACGTTTTACATGGGTGTGAGAGCGTTCAAGCTATCACGTTTTAGTATAGTATAAAAATGGTGAGATTCAAACATAGAGAAACAATTTATTATATGTTTTTTACCTATAGCCCATGAATGTCCTGAAGGCTACTTCAAACTCCTGTCGTTCTCCAACAGTTACAAACATTATTTGTGTATCAGGAAGTTTAGAATATTCTTTAAACTTGATCTCTATGGTATTTTCGTCTGAATCGTAAGTCTCCACATTGTGTGAGATGAACAATACACTTCTTCGAGGATGACAATAATTGAATGGGTGCTGTTCGATAATCGATATGGAAGCCCCAAGTGTGACAGTAATATCAGCCTGATATGTAGGCAATTCTTCAGCTTTGATTAATGCATTAAAAGCAGGCATTTTTATTTTTGTTCCGTTGTTCTGTTGTACCTTCTTTTTGTTCCGTTGGAGTTTACGGTGGGCTTGTAACTGACGAAAATCGTCAATTTTTGTCTTCAAATCCATTTTATCTAAAATAAGATACTTAATAGTGTTTTTCATCATTGTTTTTGCACATACCAAGACTGCAATTTTGCAAAAAAACCACTACAACAGCACAAGGTCACAGAACACAGCAGGACCCAAGCGCAACTGAAATCAGTGTTGCCAGGTGAAAATTTTTGTAATCCCTAGATTTAGTTGTCAAAGATCCCAACAAATTCCTAGGCATTGCCGAATCCATTTAAATTTTCTCTCATCACTACATCAAAGACGTTGCGCTGATCGACATTCAATCGTTCGAGCATCGTTTCACCGATTTCTCTTTCACGAACTTGGTTGATATCGTCCTCTACCTGATTTGGTCTGAATTCTGGAGGATCCTCAAGACTGAATTGTGACAAACGTCCATCGTTTGTGAGTCTTGTTCCAAACAAAATGATCTGTAATCTCACGATACAAAAATTGTCTCGCTTGAGGGTTGTCACGGTTCAATTCAAACCATCCTGTCAACTCCGTGTTTACAGGTCCTCTGTCGACAACCGCTTGTTCTTCACCTCGTCTGAAAACGACTCTCTGTCGTCCCGGAAGGTGAATTGCCAATCTATACACTTTCAACTTGATCACTTTTGAATAAATCACGACCGATTATAAAAGAATTTCGAGCACTTTTGTTAGACGACCAATTTCGATGACACAAAGGAAACGTCAGACTGACAGTTGTCGAATTTTTTCGAAAAAAATCAATAAATCTCTGAAAAAATTCCAGCCAAGGAAAGGTAATTGACTAAGAAAGTGTCAGATGAATTGGTTTAAAAAATTTTTAGAGTTGCAAAAAACATTTAAAAATTTCTTAAAGAAAAGCTTACATTAAAAAAAATTTCATTCGAGACGTTTCAAAACATCGTGCTACAAAAGACAGTTGGGGAGACTAAGAAAGTGTCAGATGTACCGGATTAAAAAAATTCTAAAGTTGCAAAAAAACATTTAAAAATTTCTTAAAGAAATGCTTAAATTAAAAAAAATGTCAATCAAGACTTTTCAAAACATCGTGCTACAAAAGACTGTTAGGGAGACTAAGAAAGTGTCTGATGTACTGATTAAAAAATTTCTAGACTTTCAAAAAACATTTAAAAATTTCTTAAAGCAATGCTTAGTTTAAAAAAATGTCATTCGAGACGTTTCAAAACATCGTGCTACAAAAGACAGTTGGAAAGACTAAAAAAGTGTCAGATGTA